TTGTCACTGTCTGTTCTGTAATGAGGCAACAAATAGGTCTCACCCTCCCATTCCTAAAAGTTAGAGTAAAACTGAAGTGTCTCCAGGACCTTAGACGAAATTTGTCCATTCCTAATGCTGCTCCCTGGGTTTTAGCTGAGTTAAGCATGGACTCAGTTCTTTTGAATTGCTTCTGTTTCCCACCCCTTAAAGTATGGCTCATACCAGTGTTTAATGGTTCCTAATTCTATTACTTTTTATTTTCACTAATCTCTCCCCTTCAGGCTCAGTGGTCCCCTCCCCACATCTTGTGGACCAAGAGCCCTAGCTACACACACATGGCATGAATAGATTTCAACTTTCCTTTGATTCAAACTGACAGATTAAAAACTAATTATTCTCCGAAATACTTTTATAATAAAAACTAAGTTGAAATGATTTATATATTCTTCCAGCCAACACATTTTCGATTCAAGGTTAAAATTGTTCTTGTAACAGCACCAGTTAAAATGCAATTACAGCTCCCCAAGCAGGAATAAAAGAAAGAAGTATTTTATACACTCTCTTCAAAAGTTAAAAAGTCAATTTGATATTATAGAAATAAAAACTTTCATTTATTTTTACTAAATGATAAAGACTTCATTAGTTACATTAAAGTTAAGATAAATCCGAATGTGTTTATTACCTCCTCCTGGAATTAGCTCAGATGGATAGTGGGGAAGACTTTGGGATTTGGAGGGCATTTTCCCTCTTAGCTGCCATCTTGTTCATGCCACTCTACTGGCCATATGTGGTTTCCTTTCAGAACACAGAAGAGGACAAAGAGATGATAGGTTCCTGCCTGAATTGGCCTAAGCCTTAGCTAATAGGGATTGCTGGGGACAAATTATCCCCACACTAGGTTCCTCCACTGCTGGCTTCTTATTCCCTGGGTCATGCTATGGGCCTGTTAATAAGACATGGTGTGGTTGAGAGAAAGTGAGCCACTCAGACATGGGTTTCCAGTCCTTGCTTCACCCTTTGGTTCCTTGGTGACCTAGACAAATTATTTAATGTCTCAAGGGCCAGCTTTCTAATTGGCATCAGTAACAATGACTGCTAACAGGAACAATGGCCCCAACCTCACAAGACCTCTCTTGTGCATGCTACTTTTCGTATGGTGCTTGCATATCATAAGAGCTTGGTAAATCTTAGCTGCTGGGGTCAGTGTTTGCTTTAGTTACCACGACTAAGGCAACTCATAAAAAGAAAGCACTGAACTGGGTTCTTACAATTTCAGAGGCTTGGTTTGACAAAATAAGTACTAAAGAGAATGAGGAAAGAGCAGGTATGCCATAATTTGTTGTTGTAATCATAGAGTACAATCACCATTAGCTGTAGTCTTCCTAAAATAAAAATAATTATAGTGATAACAATATTTATTGAGTAATTCCTTGTGTCAGGAACTATTTCAAATACTTTATATCTAGCAACTCATTAAAGAGTTAGAAAAAGCACAAAAGGTAGGCAGCATCGTCATCCCTGTTGTACTGTAAAGTCTCAGAAGCACAGGATGGGTGGGGAGCTAGAAGACAGCTTGAAAACATAAGGACCTGATTTGGATCCCCTAGTTAAGAAGCCAGATAGAACAGGACATGCCTGTAACCCCCCCACACTGGGGAGGCAGATGGGGGGGTTGCCGAGCACTGGTGCCAAATTGCTGACCTCTGGGTTAGTGAGAGATGCCTTCTCAAAAAATAAAATGGAGGGAGGTCAAAGAAGGCTCCTAACATTAACTGCCAGTCTCCACATTTACCTGCATGTAGTCACATAGGCATATACATTTATGCATACACATAATACACACAAAAAGAGGAGGAGTAAGTAAGTTGGCCACACCTTTGTCAAGTAGGCTAGGAAAACAGAAGTTTGGACCCAAGTATTAAGAGTGGGAGCTTTAAAGGTGGTATGCAACAAGGCAAGCCAGATCATCCAAAGCGGGAGATTGAGGTGATATGCACCAGAGCTGGAGCACGTTGGAGTACACAACTACTAAATTTTTTTATTGAAGATTTATTGAAGTTTTATTGAAGATTTATTATTTTTATTTTATGTGTTTGAATGTTTTGCTTGTGTGTATGTGTATACCCCACATGCATGCCTGGTGCTCATGGAGGGTAGAAGAAAGTGTTGGATCCATGGAACGTGATTGTAGATGGTTGTACACTTGCTTGTGGGTGCTGGGAACCAAACCTGGGTCATCTTCAAAGGTAGCCAGTGTCATAACTGCAGGGTCATCTTTCCAGAGGCCCAGTGTGTCACTTCTAACCAGATACAGGAGGTTCCAGCAAATCAAGGATGAAACATGAACACTGGTTAGAGGCCTAGAGAGGCATGTCTGCCTGATTGGCCTGTGGCTTTAGTGTTACTAGAGACTGTCACATCATACAGCTCCTCCTCTTCTAGCCTTGTTTGGCTTTCCCTGGACAACTTAAAATATATGTGAAGGTCAGTAGAGTTCTGGCCCAGGTGATTTACTGCTCTACTGGCAAAATGAAGCATGCAGACTTTTCCCCAGTCCACGAATTAGGGAGGTTTCTACTCTGTCACCAACTGTGGCCATTACCAAAAGGATGGCCACTGGCAATTTCCATTCCTTTTAGAGGAATGACAGCATTTAGCGGATGCTGCCAACCTACCTAAAGGCATTTGATAAGCCTGCTAAGCCTGTCCTCCCATGTGAACTCTTTTGTGTGGCTGTCAAGGGAAGCTATGATCCAGTTGACAATATAATATCATTCAGGTCATCAGTTCACTCAAAACCATCACATCCTTCCTTCAAAGTCTGCCAGGCAGTTGAGTTAATGACAAGGAGGCATCTTGAGCTTTTAAGCCATAGAGTGTCATTAAGCTGTGAGAGCAATTTAAACGAAGGCAGCTTTGTGTTTAATTCACAACCTGCCTCTTCTTACAGTTATGTGACTAATTCTTTTCTGAGGCTTCAGATGTAAACTTTTTAGAACTAAGTGCTAGCTGAGAAGGAAGCACATATCTAGAGAATAAACAAGGTGTGGTGCTGTATTTCTCTTTGTCTCCTCAGGCCAGACAACTGTCTCTTCCAAAATACTTCCTGTCTGACTTGGGTGTGACAGCCCAGTCCATGTTAAAAACAAACAAGCAATCCCCACCCTTAATGTGAAGAGATACCTCGAGTTATTCAACTCAAATCTCTATGGCTTTTATTTAAGCTACTTGTATTTGGCCCTTCGCTGGACATGGAGAGCATCTTCTACAAATTTAATCAAATTGGGCCCTCAGCACCCTTTCTTCAGGCTGAACAATTCTTCCTATGGCCTTTCCTTTTCCTCACAGGATTTATTCTCCAATCTTGTAATCATTTTGATTCTTCACCTGGACCATCTCCAGTGAGTCTTTGTTAATTCCTTTCATAAAATTTTAGGAAGTCTTTTCCTCTGAGAAAATCAGGAACCTGTACATCCTCTCTCTCTCTCTCTCTCTCTCTCTCTCTCTCTCTCTCTC